AGGTGTTCGGTGAGTCAGTCTGAGGGGTTTTGCGGGGTCATGACACACACCCGACTCATATGATTCACGATCGGATTTTGTCAGTGTGGACGATAGAACTGTTGAGCAGGGTTCGTTGAATGCGTATAGACTGGTGGGGTCCGGTAGGTACACATCTCATCAGTTGGTACACATCACACCAGTTGGTATACCAATAGGTAAACATCACACCAGTTGGTACACATCACATAAGTTGGTACACATCACAACAGTTGGTACACCAATAGGTAAACATCACACCAGTTGGTACACATCACATAAGTTGGTACACATCACACCAGTTGGTACACATCACACCAGTTGGTACACATCACACCAGTTGGTACACATCACACCAGTTGGTACACATCACATCACACCAGTAGGTACACATCACACCAGTTGGTACACATCACACCAGTTGGTACACATCACACCAGTTGGTACACATCACACCAGTTGGTACACCAATAGCTCTAACATCACACCAGTTGGTATACATCACACCAGTTGGTACACATCACACCAGTTAGTACACATCACACAAGTAGGTATGCATCACATCGTCAGTACTAGTTTCTACACATATGTTTTAAAAAAATAAAACCTGTTGCATTCATCAAAAGCTTTTTTCTGCTACAATTAAGCCACTTGGACTATACATATTCCTAAACTTTATAACACAGTGAAAAAAATATGCACGTGATTAAAAAGTATGTATGGTTTGGTTAAAGGGAATGGGGATTGTTTGTAGGGAAGGGATAATTTAAGGATCATTGTACGGGTTGACGGATGTAGAATGGGATTAGTCCTTTGAGGATAATGGTAGGTGTTAGTTTGTGTAGATTAGATGGAGGGGGAGGGGAGATTTTAGGAAGCTGGTGAATTCTGACAGTTGTTTAGGATATATTTTATGTGTTTGAAATTTAAGGGAGAAGTTTATATTGAGGTGGATGTTGGAAATTTAAAAAATGTGTTATTTATAAATAAGGGCTGTGGTTATATGTAGGTGTTGGTATTTCTAGAAAGCATAGGTGGTGGTTGTGTGTGAGCGTTAAATACCATAGGTTGGTGTTGGGTCGTCTATAAAGTATTTTTGGGACTAGTTTGATACGTACCTACTAGTTTTAGTGTATCTATATGTGTAGAAAACGTTGGTGGTGACAACTTTGTATTTGGTGGGTCTGTCAATTGGTTTGTGGAGACGGGTTGGTATTGGTAGCTCAGTGAAAGTTCTGGTGGTGACAAGTAGTTGTTGGTGGTTACGTAAATTGTTGGTAGTTAAAGTTTAGTATTGGTGGTTTAATGTATAAGCTGGTGACAGATTGGTATGGTGGTTATAAATATGTTGGTAGTTACAGTTTAGTATTGATGGTTTAATGTATACGCTGGTGACAGGTTTGTATGTTGGTTATAAATATGTTGGTAGTTACAGTTTAGTATTGGTGATTCAATGTATAAGCTGGTTACAGATTGGTATAGTGGCTATGAATATGTTGGTGTTTACAGTTTAGTATTGGTGGTTTAACGTATACGCTGGTGACAGGTTGGTATGGTGGTTATAAATATGTTGGTAGTTACAGTTTAGTATTGGTGGTTCAATGTATAAGCTGGTTACAGATTGGTATATTGGTTATGAATATGTTGGTGGTTACAGTTTAGTATTGGTGGTTTATTGTATAATCTGGTGAAAGATTGATATTGTGGTTATAAATATGTTGGTGGTTACAGTTTGGTATTGGTGGTTCAATGTATAAGCTGGTTACAGATTTGGTATAGTGGCTATGAATATGTTGGTGGTTACAGTTTAGTATTGGTGGTTTAATGTATAAGCTGGTTACAGATTGGTATAGTGGTTATAAATATGTTGGTAGTTACAGTTTGGTATTGGTGGTTCAATGTATAAGCTGGTTACAGATTGGTATAGTGGCTATGAATATGTTGGTGTTTACAGTTTAGTATTGGTGGTTTAACGTATACGCTGGTGACAGGTTGGTATGGTGGTTATAAATATGTTGGTAGTTACAGTTTAGTATTGGTGGTTCAATGTATAAGCTGGTTACAGATTGGTATAGTGGCTATGAATATGTTGGTGTTTACAGTTTAGTATTGGTGGTTTAACGTATACGCTGGTGACAGGTTGGTATGGTGGTTATAAATATGTTGGTAGTTACAGTTTAGTATTGGTGGTTCAATGTATAAGCTGGTTACAGATTGGTATATTGGTTATGAATATGTTGGTGGTTACAGTTTAGTATTGGTGGTTTATTGTATAATCTGGTGAAAGATTGATCTTGTGGTTATAAATATGTTGGTGGTTACAGTTTGGTATTGGTGGTTCAATGTATAAGCTGGTTACAGATTTGGTATAGTGGCTATGAATATGTTGGTGGTTACAGTTTAGTATTGGTGGTTTAATGTATAAGCTGGTTACAGATTGGTATAGTGGTTATAAATATGTTGGTAGTTACAGTTTGGTATTGGTGGTTCAATGTATAAGCTGGTTACAGATTTGGTATAGTGGCTATGAATATGTTGGTGGTTACAGTTTAGTATTGGTGTTTTAATGTATACGCTGGTGACAGGTTGGTATGGTGGTTATAAATATGTTGGTAGTTACAGTTTGGTATTGGTGGTTCAATGTATAAACTGGTTACAGATTGGTATAGTGGTTATAAATATGTTGGTAGTTACAGTTTGGTATTGGTGGTTCAATGTAAAAGCTGGTTACAGATTGGTATAGTGGCTATGAATATATTGGTGGTTACAGTTTAGTATTGGTGGTTTAACGTATGCGCTGGTGACAGGTTGGTATGGTGGTTATAAATATGTTGGTGGTTACAGTTTGGTATTGGTGGTTCAATGTATAAGCTGGTGAAAGATTGGTATGGTGGTTATAAATATGTTGGTAGTTACAGTTTAGTATTGATGGTTTAATGTATACGCTGGTGACAGGTTTGTATGTTGGTTATAAATATGTTGGTAGTTACAGTTTAGTATTGGTGATTCAATGTATAAGCTGGTTACAGATTGGTATAGTGGCTATGAATATGTTGGTGTTTACAGTTTAGTATTGGTGGTTTAACGTATTCGCTGGTGACAGGTTGGTATGGTGGTTATAAATATGTTGGTAGTTACAGTTTAGTATTGGTGGTTCAATGTATAAGCTGGTTACAGATTGGTATATTGGTTATGAATATGTTGGTGGTTACAGTTTAGTATTGGTGGTTTATTGTATAATCTGGTGAAAGATTGATATTGTGGTTATAAATATGTTGGTGGTTACAGTTTAGTATTGGTGGTTCAATGTATAAGCTGGTTACAGATTGGTAGAGTGGCTATGAATATGTTGGTGGTTACAGTTTAGTTTTGGTGGTTCAATGTATAAGCTGGTTACAGATTGGTATAGTGGTTATAAATATGTTGGTAGTTACAGTTTGGTATTGGTGGTTCAATGTATAAGCTGGTTACAGATTGGTATAGTGGTTATGAATATGGTGGTGGTTCTTTGAAGTTATTTCATCCAGATCAAGTCATTTGGTTCTGTTTAACAAATTTCAATACATCAATAGTTTTGCTTATTCTGTTTTATCTAAAAAGCTTTCAATACATCAATCCTCATATTTTTACAATATTTAAAATACATACACAGATGTCCGTTTGAGGTATATTTTAAGGTACAGAAAGATCTATTACACGCAATGATCCATTGTATCGATCTTTTATTTTCAGTCTACGTGAATGTCACACTGCCTTAGTGGGGATAGGGTGTGATGGTCATTTACTGAGGTTCAGTGTGACAAGCAAGTACCAAAAGTGATTAACATAACCAGATTTATATCAACATGCCCAACTAGTTATAATCTTTTCTATAATATACTGCACTAGTATATATTCATAAGACAACAATTCCAGTTTAGGTTATCGGTTATTATGAGTGGCATAAACAGTGGCGGAACTAGGAAAAAAGGGCCACCCCGCAAAAAAATTTGTTAGCCCCCCCAAATATATATATATATATATATATATATATATATAGGCCTATATATCTGTATATATATATATATATATATATATATATATATATATATATATATATATATATATATATATATATATATATATATATATAACACAAAATACGGTTATAAGAAACTCTTCACTGGCCTGTTCGGGTTTTGAAAAAAAAATTCTTTCAATTAAACAAATTACAACATAATATCACGTTTTATTTTCGTCGTGTCATTCTGACGCTACCCAACTCAAATCGGCTAGAGATCACATGAGATAGAAAAAATTGGTCACAAGAGCACAACACAAGATAAACAATTATCGACCCACAGGCCCAAAAACTAGATCGGATCCTGATTACTGCTCCTTGGCTGTTAACTCTCTATCGTGCGTTACATGTAGTATACGTAAAGAGAAAATAACTTTTTCAATCACTTCCTACGTTCATAATAACTCAAAATAATTCACTATCGTCATTTTTTGCTAACTAAAGCACACAATTTCAATATATTGACCCAAATTGACCCATCTTCTGCTTCCAATATATAGGACGGCGTGGTCGGATGGTAGAGCATACGACTGAAGACTATAGAAAGTCTATGAGTTCACCCAGTTCTGATGTCTTAGGTTAGAGAAAGTAAAAGCGGCTTGGTATAGTGATCACACCATCGCTTCACTGTAACCACGTCACAGTAATTACGTCACGGTAATTACGTCACTAAAACCACGTCACTGTCACCACGTCACTGTAACATTCTCACTGTAATTGCACCTACGTAACCAGGTCACCGAAACTTACATTGTAACCACACCATCATCACGTACGAATTTACTGTGCACGCATGCATGTAAGAGATCAATTAAACATTTAATTAGCTTCACGCCTAATCATTTCAATAATAAATCAAAGGGGACGAAAAGTTTACAACAGCTCTACAGCTTGGTTAAGCGCTAGAAATAAAACCCGTCATATCGCGTTACTCTACAGCTGAAATACATCTTCAACTACAAAAACATCATACTCTCCAATCTAGCTCTACGTAACGAAGGACAGCTATAAGCTATAGCTGACTGCCATTGATGAAGATGGACAAGACTTCGATTCTCCTTTTGCTTCTGCTGCCTGTACTAACAATAGCTTTTGACGCGGAAGCAATAGCCAAAAAAAAGTACACAACAGCGGACATCAACGGCGACGGCGACCTTACTGTGGATGAGATTTCAAAAGATCTACTGGTAGGTGAACTTGTCATGAACACATTTCGGTTATTAAATCAATTACTTAAAATCTATTTTAAATGCATTGGAATTAATGAAGGAAAAAAAAATATTAAAATTACGTATTTCCTATCGAAAAATGTTAAAACGATTTGGAGACCAAAATATCAGAAATATATTAATTTTTTAACTCTCAAAATCAAACAGTATTCAGACAAAATCGGTAATAATAACGGGGTAATCGACAAAGAAGAGTACAAGACAGTTTTTCTCAACGCTTTCAAGAACTCCAAAGCTGAGGCAGCTATGCGTCTGTTTGCTGCTTACGACGTGAACAATGACACAGTTTTAGACGATAAAGATTTTGGACGCTTGCGTCAGAAAATGAATCAAAACAACGACGCGAAACTCACACAGCAGGAGTATGTCGGGTAAGAGAACATGTTCTGTCTGTATACTCTTCTTTATGAAGCATGATCTATCTCTACCATGTCTTTATATACTACCCATATTCATTCGTAGTTCATCCTTGTGCATATTGTTATTACACTAAAGGGAAGTTTATTAAGTAGCTCTTTTAACATCACCAAGTTGTTCGGTATATTTCATAGTTATATATATGGATCTTACGGGCCTAGGACGAACCCGTTCACAGCTGTACATAACTACCCCCCGCCCTACATTCTTCCCTGATATCCCCCCCCCCCCTTTTTTCCTCCTATGTCAATTACCAACTTATAAAATAACCCACAACCAAAAATTTTCTTGCTTAGGACACCCCCTCTTGTCTATTACAAATTTTAACCGAAGTCCCTTCTTGCGCCGGACCCCATATCTAAATAGACGTCAACTTCAGCCTAAATGTTTTGTCTGTTAAAAGCATCGATTTCTTTCTAAAATATTTTCTGAGCTCTGTTTTTTTCTGAGTACATTAATTAGCATATATGACAATTTATAAAAAAAATTACTTTTGATAATGCGCAATATTAGCTAAAATTCACTTTTAAAATGCATCTGAATCTCAAAATTTATAACCACTGTCCCTAGTAGTTGGACATCGTTTATGGAAGACCCTTTTGAAAAGTGTTGTGGAACTAATAAAAAAATTTCATCGAACCTCTATCGTAAAAACGTTATGTACTATAATGTTTTTTTTTTTAATTTGTTTAAAAAGAACCATTCGGCCCACGGTAGCTTTTAAGTACAAATTAATATAGACCAACATATTTGCGAGCCTGAGTTCAAAGATACACCCCCGCACATGCTACCCCGACATACCCCCCCCCCCTATTACGAACGCTACTCTACCAGGGGGTAAAGCTAGCGAATGTACCGGATTCTTTTTGAATGGTTAATAACAGATGACAACAACTAGGAGAGTATCAGACACAAAAACTCAACGTGGACTCGTAAATAACTTCTAGGGGAAAGACATGATGAACTCTTGTGACTAACAACAATTTTAATCCATTAATAACCTTTTAAAATGAGTGCAAGAACAAAATATGACTCTAGTTCTATACAAATATTATAAATATACAAAATGAGCCAAAACCCAACTTACGCGTTGAAGAGAAAACAATAGTTAACAAATATCACAGAGATGGCACTAGGAAATCAACACAGCTTATAGGAAATTAACCTAAGGCACAGAATGATACTAAAATCACAAGTAATAGGGAAAAAATGCTACTTTAAACTATAGAATACAATATGGCATCACAAATGCGGCAATCTCTCCCGGAATGTCTGGTAAACTGCTCTAAGAATGTCTGGTCTGGACTACCTCCAAGTAAGCACATTCCAGGCATGGCGACCCTTCTGATTATGGGCTGTCCACCTGGATTTAAAGCGGAAAATCGAACCCCAGCCGCCACCGTGAGCGCGCGGGATTATAACCACTAGACCACCAGGGGTCTATTACACAAATGAAAAACTAAATAATAAAAAATAATACCTAAGTAGGTCACAACCCCCCCCCCCCTAATAACGTAACTTGTATACCAAATGTTTTGCATTTATATCAATAATTTAAGATCTAATTTAAAAAACTGTCCTGTACACTGCCAGAATATACGTCATTAATGTAACATGTTAATCAGAAGTTATTGATTTTCTACTCTATAGATGGATCTTACCATACATAAAGGCCGCTATGCCATAAGATCGACACATCGATGCTGGCGGAAGCAGTTGATTTGCAAAAAATATAATTATCAGAATAATTGAAAATTAAAATAAAAAATAACATAA